CAAAGTGTGGGAAAATATGCAATATGGTAAAATGTAAGGATTTGGAGAAAGTGTTCTCAGTATATTTTTTAAGTTTTAAAAAGAAGCGCGTTAACAAATGCCACATAGTCCCACTTATCTCTGGAATATAAAGAACAAGGTGGGCTGATGAACAAAACAGACCCAGAGACATAGAAAGGAGTGTGGTTCAGACTGACAAACCTCAGAATAAGGGGGCGGGAGGGATGGATGAGATGAACCAAAGAACTTATATGCATGTGTGCATAACCAATGGACATAAACAGCAATGTTGGGGGGCTAGGGGGAGCGGGATGGGGAGGAGGGTGTCTAGGGGGAAAAAGGAGAAACATCTGTAACAAAAATAAATTAATAAAAATTAGGAAAAAAATAAAAATAAATAAAGTATCTGTTCTTTAAAAAAGAAAAATATAGCGCAGCCAGTATGGTTCAGTGGTTGAGTGTCGACCCATGCACCAAGAGGGTGCTTGCCGGTTTGATTCCTGGTCAGGGCTCATGCCCAGGTTGTGGGCCCAATCCCCAGTGGGGGGCATGCAGGAGGCATCCAATCAATGTTCTCTCTCACCGATGCTTCTATCTCTCTTTCCCTCTCCCTTCCTCTCTCTCTAAAATCAATAAAGAAAAAAAAATTTTTTAAAGAAATAAATGAATAAAAGTGGGTTAAGAAACACCCTGCCTGGTATTAAAAGAAACTAACGTATCTATGTATGTCAGCTGTACTCATTCATCAACAAGGTGAGTTATGAAATACACATGCATAGAAAACCAACAGGGAGGAGACCTAACAAGAGTCTAGCTGTATATACCTCCAGGGCATGGGGTTATGAGCGCTTTTGGTTTTCCTATGAGTTTTTCTGTATTTTCCAATTTTATAGTCAGATGACTAAAATAACAAGAGCCTCCACTTAGGATCTTTCCATGGGTCAGCACTGACCTGTGCTGAATGCTTCATAACGACAATCCCATTCAGGTCTCACAACTACCCTTTGTGGTATGTGGGACAAATGCTCGTGATGGCCATTTTGCACATTAAAAAAAAACCCACTAAGGCTGAGAAAGAAGAATTTTCCCAAGGTCACACAACTATTAAGTGGTGGGGCAGAGATTCAAATGCAGTTCAATCGGATTCCAGAACAGAGGCCCTTGACCATCATGTTAGAGACCCAAACTGCACCCAGTGCTGCTGTGTTTTTTTTCTTTGTTCCTCACCTGAGGATATTTTTCTGTTTATCATCAGATAGAGTGGGAGGGACAGAGAGAGAGAGAGAGAGAGAGAGGCAGAGAGAAACATCCATGTGATAGAGCCACATTGACTGGTTGTCTCCTGCATGACCCAACCAGGGCCGGGGACGAACTGCAACAGAGGTACTCTTGTCCGGAATCGAACCCATGACTCATTGGTCTGCGGGCTGATGCTCTAACCGCTGCGCCAAACCGGCCAGGGCTCCAGTGCTGCTTCTTTATGTAAGAGGGCATCTAAGGACCAGGAAGGAGGCCGAGGTGTGGATCCCAGAGGGCCCCTGGCGTTGCTACCTAACGGCTGAGAGCTGGAGTCGAGGACCCGAGTCTCTTTGGACCTGAGACACCAATGTGTTTCTGTGACATAAAATAACCACGATTTGGCTGAGAAAGTCGATACCACTCGCCAGGTTGACTCAGCCTCTCTTGAAGGCATTGTGGGCTGAGGCAGGACCGAGAAAATGGATATTCCCACAGCACCCTGCTTTGGCAAGACCCCTTTGTGGTTTCTTCTCGTTCTGCAGAAAGAGCGCTGCTGCTTGCTCAAGAGATGAACATTCCTAACATCATTTCTGCTCAGCTGGGAGCCCTCCAACAGGAACGGGCAGAGGGTGTTCACTTTCTGGAACTCAGCTGGGAATCTTTCCTCTGGGAGACCCCAAGAAACTGTTCCCAACAAACAAAAAGGCTGCTGGGGAAACTGGTAACCAGGAACCGGAGAGGCCCGTGCGGCTCCGGGGAGCAGGACGGAGCCAGCAAATGCTGGCAAGGCTGGTATTGGGCACGGCCGCCAGCTTCCGAGCTCCTCCAGGCACAGACTCTGTGTCCATGACAACAATCCAAGGGAGGGCAGGACTGTCCCATGATCTGGATGATACAAGCTGAGGCTCAGAAAAGTGAGTGACCATCTCACAGCCAGGACATAGCCTGAGCTCAGAAGGATGTTTTCCCAATTCTTGTCAACCTGCCTCAGACTCCTTTAAGAATAATGGTAAAAGGCACAAACCCTCTGTTTTTTAAAAAAATGGGCAGAGACATTTACATGCATATGTTGTACATAAATTCAGAAAGCCTCAGTTAAGTTCTCCTTGAAGACCTTGGTAAGAATCCCCATTGCCCAGCCGGTGTGGCTCAGTGGTTTAGCGGCGACCGTGCACCAAGAGATTACTGGTTCGATTCCCGGTCAGGGCACATGCCCAGGTTGTGAGCCAAATTCCCAGTGGGGGGGGGGCATACAGGAGGCAACCAGTCGATGTTCTCTCTCATCAATGTTTCTATCTCTCCCTCCCTTCCTCTCTCTCTAAAATCAATAAAGAAAAAAAATTTACAAAAAAAAAAAATCCCCATCAACTATCCAAACACATTCACCTCCACCCTCCATCTCTGCAGCCAGGTACAGTGTCCAGGCGAAGGGGAGGGAGGAATGTTGGTCTCCACTTCCTACCCCAGTCTTGAGGGAGAGGATGACCCAGAACTGTCTGTGGATGTGGTATGCGTATGACCAGAAATCTTTGTGTGGTTGGGGAGCCGGAGCTGTCCCCACAACATTCTGGCTATTAGAAGCTCCCGCCTCCTCTCCACCCAGTTCTCACTCTGTTGACAAGTAGAAATGACATGGAGAGGGGAAGAAACTCCTCTAACTGTAAAAAAGTAAAATAAAACTCTGCCAAACACCTTGGCTATGCAACAGCTTCTCTGCACCAACAAAAAATGTCTAGAACTTCATGATTTGCTTCTAGTCATCTCCTTAGATAGTTCTTGATGACATAAAACAAAGCTAAAATGTTTTATACAATCGTTTACTGTGGCATTTTTGTTTTGACACCTAATAGACATGAATCCTTTCAGGTAGCAGTCTCCCTAGTTTTTTGTTTTTTAATCATGAATCCCATCAGGCAAAAACTTTCCAGTGTGTACCCACAATATATGTGCATTTTATTTTTTTTATTCTTACCCACGGATATGTTCATTGATTTTAGAAAGAGAGGAAAGGAGAGAGAGAGAGAACCATCAATGTGAGAGAGAAACATTGACCAGTTGCCTGTACATGCCCTGACCAGGAATTGAGACCATAACATTTTGGGTGTACCGACAACACTCCAACCAACTGAGCCACCTGGCCAGGGCTGTATGTGCATTTTAAAATTTATGAATTGGCCCTGGCCGGTTTGGCTTAGCGGTTAGAGCATCCGCCTGCGGTCCAGAGAGACCCGGGTTCGGTTCCCGCTAAGGGCATGTGCCTTGGTTGCAGTTTGTCCCCGGCCCTGGTTGGTCGTGCGGGTGGCGGCCACTCGATGTGTCCCTTTCACATTGATGTTTCTCTCTCTCTCTCTTCCTCTCTCTCCCTCCCACTCTGTCTGTACAAAAAGTGGAAAAATATCCTCTGATGAGGATTAAAAAATAAATAAATAAATAAAAAATTTATGAATTGTACATGTGCATCACTGTTCTCATATTTTATGCACAATAAAAAACATGTCAAAATAAATGTTTTAACATGCTGAGCAAAAGATTAAACAATGTGTTTTACTATCTTGTGAATTATGACAACTTCCATCATCACTGATACCTCACAGCAGCAAGAAGATGCCTTTGGGTGAGGATTTTTGTGAATGGTCATGGGATTGTTAACACATGTTTCAAATAGACTTCTTGATCATGTGGGATTTGGGGTTCTGTTCCTTTGATGTCTGATTGGATGACCTGTTTTTCTTTTCACCTTGGTGTAGATCTGGTAAAGAGCCTATTCCAGAAATAAGACAGTTGCCTCTGCAATGTTCTTGCTCTTTACTTGTGCTTGATTTATTAGCACAGACTTTCCTTCAGTCCACAGTTTCTTTGCAGGAATCTTGTCTAATTTTGTTAGGACTCAATGAGATAGGTATATAACCTGCAAATGCACTTTCCTAAGCCAATACTTCACAACCCTATGTTGCAATATCCTAAGAGCTAACAAATTGGTCAATGGGATTTTGCTACAAAGCTCTCCCTTTTCCCCCAGGAGATATGTTGGGAGATGGGTAAGGGGTGGCCACCTGCAGCCTGACCAAGCCCAAGGGGCCACAGCTACTCCCTTTCTGTGTTACCTCAGGTTCCTTTTTGCCATCTAGTCCTACAACATAAGGTCAACCAACGCCCTGTAGCATGGTCCCCCCTTACCCGTGTGGGATATGTTCCAAAATCCCCAGTGGATATTTGAAATTGCAGATACTCTGAACCCTAGATAGACTGTTTTTTCCTATACATACGTGCTTTTTCACTAAAAGGAAGGATTTTACGGCTTCTCTCTGGCATACTTGAATTACTACCATCAAAACTCCTGCACTAGCTGTAGTACATATACACAATGGAATACTATGCAGCTGTAAGAAAAAAAGATCTCTTATCCTTTGAGACAACATGGAAAGACCTGGAGAGCATTATCCTAAGTGAAATAAGCCAATCAGAGAAAGACAAATATCACATGATTTCACTTATTTGTGGAATATAATGAACAAAAAAACTGATGCACAAAATAGACCCAGAGACATAGAAGTAGGGTACAGACTGACAAACCTCAGAAGGGGGTGGGGGGAGAGATAAACCATAGAACTTATATGCATATATGCGAAACCAATGGACATAGACAAGTATGCTGGGGACGGGGCAGGGGGCAGGGACTGGGAGGAGGGTGTCAATGCAGGAAAAAGGAGAAACATCTGTAACAAAAATAAATTAATAAAAATAATTAAAAAACAAAACAAGTGCTCGCTTCGGCAGCACATACACTAAAACTGGAACGATACGGAGATTAGCACAACCCCTGCGCAAGGGTGCCATGCAAATTGGAGAAGCGGTCCGTATTAAAACAAACAAACAAAAAACTCCTGCACTTTGGGGCCATTATTAAGAAAAATAAGGGTTACCCGAACACAAGCACTGAGATACCACAGCCGTCTATCTGATCATCGAGAGGACAACTAAGTGAGTCTGAGGCAGGGAGTGTCTACAGCGTAGCAAGCCCGACAAAGGGATGAGTTACATCCTGTGCTGGACAGCACGGGATTCCATCGCACTACTCAACATGGCGTGCAATTCAATTGTTTATTTCTGGAATTTTCCATGTAATATTTTTGGCCTGTAATTGTCTGTGGGCCACTGAATCTCCAAAAAGCAAAAACCTTATTAAAGGTTGATTACTGTTATTAACTTCTCTCTGCCAAAGTAGCCAGCGTGGTCTGTTTTTCTGTCTAGACTCTCAAGGACGCAGAAAGCCGGTGTCAAGCCAGAGCCAGTATTAGTAAAGCCAAATCTCTCTCTTAGTCTTCAGAAATAATCTGGCATCCCATCCTGGTCCTCAGCAGACGGCCCCACACCCCAGGAGCATGCTCACTGGCTGGAGCATGGAGCGCATTGGACATCTGACGCGCATTCCATCCCCCCACCATAGGTTTGCTTTTACGCACTGCAGCAGCTGAATAATAGCCCGAAGATGCCCATGTTCTAATCCCCAGGACCTGTGAATATGTCACCTTACATGGCGCAGGGGCTTTGCAGATATGACTAAGGATTCTGAGATGGGAGATTATCTAGTGGGCCAATGTCATCACAGGGTTCTGAATAAGAGGAAAGTAAAAAGATCAGTGGGAAAGAAGGGGATGGGATGATGGGAGCAGAGGGTGGAGAGATGCACTCTAAAGATGAAGGAAGGGGCCACCAGCCAAGGAATGCAAGTGGCTTCTAAAGACTTTAACAGGCAAAGAAATGGATTTTTCCCTGGAGTCTCTAGAATGAATGGAGCCCTGCTGACACCTCGATGTTAAAACTTGTAAGGCTCATTTCGGGCTTGCAACTTCTAGAACGATCAGATATGAAGTAGTATTGTCTTCAGCTACTAAATTTGGGGTAATTGGTTACAGCAGACATAGGAAACTAATGTGCCCACCCATACAGAAACACAAATCCATTAAATGTTTCTTTTCTAGTTTCCCTGGACAAAGCAAGGCAGCTCACAAGTCTTTGAAGTCTCTGTACTCCTAGGAAAATCGAGACTCTTGTTTCAGAGAATGCCAAGATATTCTGTGGCAACTGGGAGATCGATCCACTTCATTTGAATCCACCTCGGCTACACTCCAAGTGCTGAAAGAAATTGGCACCAGAGTTTATAAACTCAACAGTTTCACTTAGGAGCCTTGACTATTCAATCCCAATTTTATTGGCCTAAGCCCAGTGATAATGACAATCATGGCCACTGCTCTTGGGAGCCCAGCCACACATCAGGTATCAGTGTTCATGGTCAGCAGTCCTGTAAGGCATCACCCATGACACAGATAAGAAAACCGAGGCTCAGAGAGAATAAATGGCACATTCAAGGCCACACAGCCAGGACATATCACCCCAGGTTCCCAGAGCTTTGGGTTTTCCCAGCTCTCACTTATTTCCAATGTCACTGACCACTAATGACCCAGACAGAATGAAGAGGGATCCATGCAATCAACTCGAGACCAGGGCACGACACGGGCCTGTGTTCATGCTCATGTGCAGTGCTGTTGAGAGCCAAGTGGATGATGAGGGTGAGAAGGTTGCTATCCACAGTTCTCCATGACAATGGGTGAGTACTGGGTCCAGGGATGTTTCTTCCCTCATCCTGGTGTGGTGGCTCACTCTCGGAGAACTAGCCACAGGGCAGACAAGAAGGACAAATATAGCAGGAGGCTCTGAGCCGGTCCCCCACATGTGGAGGTGATGAACTTGGCCGACTTGACCTTCCGACAGTGTTGGAATGAGCCCGTGTGGTTATCCAAGGCTAGATTGTACCCGCCTAGCAGTAAAATGAATGAATACAAAGCACCTACATGATGATCAAAAGTCAACTCTAGTGGAGTATGCTGGCCACAGTGATTCTGATATTTTCTATTTTCGTTTTTTTATCCTCACTCGAGGACATTTTTGCATTTATCTTCAGATAGAGCAGGAGGGATAGAGGGAGGAAGAGAGAGAAACATTGATGTGAGAGAGACATATCGAGTGGTTGCCACCCACAGGGGCTGGGGACAAACTGCAACCGAGGTACGTGCCCTTAGCAGGAACTGAACCTGGGTGTCTCTGGTCTGCAGGCCGACATTCTAACCACTGAGCCAAACTGGCCAAGGCATGATTTTGATACTTAAAGGATAACAACAACCCTAAAGCAATGTAAGCCTTTCCTCATCCAATCTTGCCACCTCATGTAAAGCAGCAGGGTGGTCTAGTGCAGAAACTTTCGGGGTCAGACACATCCGGGTTGGAAGCCTGGCATAACAGTATACCAGATGTGACCTCTATAAGTCATATAACCTCTCACAGCCGCACTGTCCTCGTTTGGATACAGAACTCTAAACTTGTATGGTTTCCACACTCTCTGCACAGCCATGGGCTTCAGAAGAGGCTGGCTCCAGCCCCAGAAGGCATATCCAAGGGCCAACATGATGACTCAATTCCTCTGGTCTGTGGTTAGTTTAAGCATGAGCATGTGACACAGTCTGGGCAATGAGCTGAGGGGCTTCAGGGAAAGATTTTGTTTTGGTTTGGTTTTTGGTTTTGCCCTTAAAATCAATACACAAAGAAAGATAATCTTTCTTCTGTTGTTGGAATCTGGATGTGATGCCTGGAACAGTGCAGCCACTGGTGAACATGAGGAGAGCCAGACTAAGGTCAACGCTGACACACAAAGGAGGGCAGACTGTATAGATAGAGCTTGGGTCCTAAACAGTGTCCTTGAGGCAATGCATTGACTATCTCTGGAGCCTTACTACCTGAGGACTTCTTGACAATGAACTTCCTTTTTGTTTAAGCCCCTTTGAGTTAGATTTTCTGGTACACATAGCCAAAAGCATCCTGCCTGATGCAGGGCTGTGTTAAGGATTAAATATACAAAGCGCCTACTGTAATGCCTGGCACACAACTGCTTTCTTTGTTGCGCAAAGTAATAATATGAGAAACAAAAATAGTGAGTCACCATGATTCCAAGGGCTTTCTTCTCCTCGTTAGAGATATAAGTTCCCTAAGAGAAACAATGTCTTGGACCTCTTTGCTATGCCCCAGGGTCTGCTTAATAAATGCTCTGCTACTGACCTGGGGTAAACAATGAGGCATGCCCACTGTATTAGGTAACCATAGCCACAGTAACAGGTGAGAACCCATCACAAAGCACCAATCATTATTGTTGGTCAAAGGGTACAAACTTTCAACTATAAGGTGAACAAATTTTGGGAATCTAATGTCCAGCATGGTGACTAGGATTAACAATACTGTATTGTAGACCTGAAATGTACTAAAAGAGTGGATTGTAAGTGTTCTCACCACACACATATAAAAAAAGGGTAGCCCTGCCAGTGTGGCTCAGTGGTTGAATGTTGACCCATGCACCAAGAGGTCGCTGGTTCTATTCCCAGTCAGGGCACATGCCCAGGTTGTGGGCTAAATCCCCAGTGGGGGGCATGCAGGAGGTGGCCAGTTGATGTTCTCTCACATCGATGTTCCTCTCTCTCTAAAATCAATAAAGAAAAAACATTTTTTTTAAAAAAAAGGGTAACTGTGTGAGGTAATGGGAATGCTAATTAGCTTGAATGTGATAATATCTTCATGATGTGTCCATATATCAAAATCCTCAGGCTGTACACCTTAAGTATACATACTTTTGTCAATGATACTTCAATAATGCTGGGGAAAGTAAAAATAAAAACAAAAACAAAATAAATCAGTGAAATACTGACACATGCTACAATATGGATGAACCTTGAAAATATCATGCTGAGTTAAAGAAGTCAGTGACAAAAGACCACACAATGTATGATTCTATCTATATAAAATAACCAGAATAGGCAAATCCGTAGAGATGGAAATAGGTAAGTGGTTGCCTAGGGTGGGGTTGTTGGGAGAAATGGGGAGTAGTGATAATGGGCTTCTTTTTTGGATAATGAAAATGTTCTAAAATTCATTGTGGTGATAGTTGTACAACTCTTAATTCACTAAAAACTATTGAATTATATGCTTTACATGGGTACACTATATGGTATATGAATTATATCTCAATAAAGCTGTTGTGAAAATTTGTATTTAAAAACAATGACAATCATTAATTCTCTTTTTTGTATTAGTGCAGTTTTATTTTTGTTTTGTTGTTAATTTTTCTGAGACAAGGTGTGATCTTTCAATATGCAGATTCAAGAGGTTTTTCTCTCTTATTTATTTTTTAATTACAGTTGACATAAAATATATTAGTTTCAGGTATATAATATAGTGATTAGACATTTATATAACTTATAATGTGACCACCCTGAGAAGTCCAGGACCCACCTAGCACCAATTTTATTACAATATTACAATATTACAATATTTATTAATATTACAATATTATTGACCATATTCCCTATGCTGTACCTTATATCCTTGTGATTATTTTGTAATTACCAATTTATACTTCTTAATCCCTTCACCTTTTGCACCTACCCTCCCCCACCCTTCTCCCATCTAGCAACTCTCAGTTTGTTTTCTGTATCTATAAGTGTGTGTCTGTTTTGTTTATTTATTTATTTTGTTCTTTAGATTCTATAGATAAGTGAAATCATATGGTATTTGTCGTTCTCTGTCTGACTTATTTCACTTAGCATAATACCCTCTAGGTCCATCCATGTTGTCACAAATGGTTAGATTTTATTCTTTTTTATGGTAATATTTTATTATATACATATATCTTTTTCCAATCACCTGTTGATGGGCACTTAGGTTGCTTCGATGTCTTGGCTATTGTAAATAATACTGCAATGAACATAGGAGTGCATACATCTTTTTGAATTACTGTTTTGGATTTTTTTGGATAAATACTCA